GACAAACTATTCAAACATATGTTGGGAGTTCGGGATATGATGATTGGTTGAATGCTTTCCATGAATTACCAAGAACATATATAGATGAAGGTGTGAGAGATACAAAGTCTAAGTTTGATCATAATTATGGAATAGTGCATGATCTCGAAAGAGATAAATTTTTTTTGGGTTTAACACAAAAACCTGTGGAAATAATTGGTAAAAATATTCATGTGGAAGGTATAAAATATCCCGGAACGGTTGGTTTATATGAATTACTTTTTAAAAAAGAACCTGTTGGATACAAAAATGATGATTTAGAAAATTATATGGACATATTAAAAAGAACTAATGCATATCGTAGAAATTTTGATCCCAACGAGCAAGTGCAAGGAAATAGTTCACACAAATATGTAACAATAATTGGACCTTACTTGCAACGAAAGGGTATTACAAAAACTAAAACAATAACACCATTGGAAAGGTTGACTGAAGCTTTTGCTAAACCGAAAGCACCATTTAGAACTAGTAGAACGACGGCTGTCCAGAAAGGGAAAGGTTTAACTTTAAAAATAAATAAATCAAATACAGATTATGTGTATTGGGATAATATAAATGAACTTGTAGATCGACTTCGTCTTTTACTAGCATCTACAGATGCTGGCAATACAGCCCACAACAATGAAATATTATCTATAATTGAGGAATTAAGAGAGGCTAAAGTTATACTATAAATAAGAATTGATAGTTATAAACAAATCAATTGTTGACCAATATCAAACCATGTCTGTTGATAAATTTGGTTGTCATATTTCTAAACGTAACATTGTAAATACAACAACCTTGGAAAACACAATCTTATCAAATGTTGAAAATAAAATTTTATATAGGTTTAAGACAGATGTAAACTATATTGAAAATAAAGTAATTGAACATTTTCAAGGTAATATAGACAACACAAACAAGAGATTAAGTGAAAATGAATCAAACAATAATAATTTTGCAAAGAAAATTAAGTTTTTTGATGAAAAAATTACAAAACATGAAGATAAAATTATACAATTTAATGATAATATAAAAACAATTAATAATTTAAAAACAGAAATAGAACAAATTAAAGATTCCATTAACGATACATCACAAATTGAATCAATCAAAAGAAATCTTCAAAATGACATTAAAACAAAATTTGAAGATTTCACAAACAACGTTTACGAAAGAGTTAATCAAGAAGTAGCTTATTTTAAGAATGTTCATGATAAAATTGACAGAACTGAAAAAATTACAGCGACAGCATTAAATATGCACTTAGTTAACCATAAAAAAGACATAGAAGAACTACAAGATCTAAGACAGCAATTTAATAATACATTAGCTGAAATTACAAAATTAAAATCAGAAAAAAATTTGGAAAGTGAAGATAGAAATAAAAGTAAAAGTGAAATTTCTACAATAAAATCCAGTTTAGAGAAGTTCAATTTAAAATTGGATGAACTTTATGTAAGTCTAGAATCATTGAAAGAGCATGTAAAAGAAGAAAATAAAAAAATTAATGCTCATATTGATGAAATTGATAAGACCATGAACACTCAAATTAGAGAAGTGATAATTAAAAATCAGAAAGAAAGAATTAAACATCTAAAAGATGATATTGATAATATTCATCAAACTAAAAGTAAACTTATAAACGATACTCTTAATGGTAAAAAATTAGTTGATGTACCTTTTAGACAGTAGACAATATATAGAAAATCTTTCACAAATTATATATACTATCTCTAAAATATTGCATGAAGAGCTAACAAAAATAGAAACGGAAGTAGAAAATTCTGCAAATAAAAGAAAAGATTTTCTATTAACAACAGTTAAAGAATATCTAGATAACCTAGTCAAAGAAATAATTAAAATTAATGAAATTTTGATTGAAACTAATAAGGATGAACAAATACAAAAATTAAAAGAATGGAGAGAGATGTATAAAAGCTTTGTGGACAACTACTCTCAAAACTAAATATCTTTTGGTAAAATTTCAAAAGTATGACAACCATTAAGGAACAAGTAGTTAATGAGTTACATAAACCTGCTAGAAAAAAATTTATGCGAAGAAGGGTAATTGTTAAAGGACTAAATGATCTTTTACAGGCAGATCTAGTAGAAATGCAACCATATTCCAAATTTAACAGGGTTATAGATATATTTTAGTTGTTATAAATGTGTTTTCAAAATATGTTTGGGCAGAACCTGTAAAAACAAAATCTGGTAAGGATGTTGCCACAGCAATGAACACCATATTACTTACTTTAAAAACCAACCCACAAAATTTGCAAACGGATAGGGGTACAGAATTTTTCAACCAACATTTCCAAAGACTGATGGAACGATTTAAAATTAATCATTATAGTACGTTTTCCAATTTAAAAGCAAGTGTAGTTGAAAGAGTAAACCGAACATTAAAAACCAGAATGTGGAAAATGTTTAGTTTGCAAGGAAATTATAGATGGCTTAATATTTTACAAGATATCGTTAAGGATTACAATAACACCAAACATTCAACAATTGGAATGAAACCAAACCAAGTAAATAAACAAAATGAAAAGAAGATTTTAAGATCAATCTTTACTCATGCTAAAACAGTAGATTCAAAACATGCTAAATTTAAAGTTGGAGATCATGTGCGTATAAGCAAGTATCGCGAGGCATTTTCCAAAGGTTACACTCCAAATTGGTCAAATGAAATATTTCGAATTAAAAAAGTTAAGATGACAAATCCCAGAACATATATAATTGAAGATGAAAGAAATGAGGAAATTCAGGGTGGATTTTATGAACAGGAGTTACAGAAAGCAAAACACTCTGATGTATACCTTGTTGAAAAAATTCTAAGAAGAAAAGGAAACAAAGTTTATGTAAAATGGTTAGGATTAGATAAAAAGTTTAATACATGGATTAATAAAAATGATGTTGTATAGTTGTTTTATGTAACTTAAAATAAAATAAAGCACTAATTAATATAATATAGTTTTATTTAATATTTGGTTAAATACAAGTATTAGCAAATCGTGTTAAATACATTTTAGTTCTGTGTTCTTTGCTTAGTATTGGATCAAGAATAATCTTACAATTATTAATTCGTTTTTCAAAACGAAGTCTATCTAAATAATAAGTTCTAAATTCACATTTTCGTGCTTGTTTATAAGCAAAATTACACTGCACTAACACATAAAGTTTATTTTTCTCTTCCTGAAAAGTCACCGATTTCTTCATAATATTTTCTTTTGAGTTCATTCCTCTTCAACCTTTTTTCCAATTCCTCCGGGTACAGTATCAGGAACTCCAACATGGTTGAAACATTTTCACTGTTGGGATTTTGATTGGGTTGTAAAATGCGATAAATATTATCAATAGGATCACCTTCCTGAATTGAAATGCTGGTTTGGAATACTTTAAAGTAAAGTGAAAATTCTTGTTTCTTTATAATAGAAATTCTGTAATCCACAACTTCCTTTAATCGCCATAATGTTTCTATAGACTCATATCCTAAATATATATATCTTGAATATTCTTCTTTAATTTTTATAACAGGAAGACTGTTGACTTTCTCAAAATATAATTTAAAGTTGTCTATATTCAACATGGGTTCGTTAATTTGCTGGGGAAAGCAGAAGTAATTTTCAATAACTCCTCGATGATTGCAAAAACTATTCCAACTTTCTTCACTTAGAGTTATAGAAAAACCATTTTTTCCACCGATTATAATTTTCGGTGAAAAGTCTTGATTACTTATACCAACAATAACAAATTTTGATGAAGATTTATTCAAAAAGAAAATTTTTGAATTTAAAAGATTTTCAAAAACTTTAGAAGACATGGTGAATGAACTAAATAATATTAAGTTCTCCTCTTACTTTAATATTCGAACCCCTACCAATTCATACCCCACCTATTCATATCGTCAACTCATGCGCATTGCTTATTCGAAACAATATTTTAAATGAAATTGATTATTGAAAGTGTAAATTTCCTGTTTGAAATTTATAATAAAAAAAGATAATTAAAATTGTAATATACAAAAATATAGTAAAAGTTAAAAAGAGATTAACGATATTAAAAATGTTATATCCATTATTTTTTTCATTAATAAATTTAGTATAGTTGAATGATTCATTTTGAAAATGTGTATATTTTAATTCGGTTCTTTCAATCCAATTAGTATCAAAAATGGTTTGGTTTGAATAATGATATAAAATTTTAAAAAACCTACTAACATTTTCTCCTTTGTTGATGGGATATATAAAACTAAGTGTATTATTATTGATTAAACCAACTTTCATAAATTGACAATTTTTATCAAGTGTAATGTTTGTTTCATTCGAAAAACATATTTCACATCGGGTTACAGTGGGGGGATAATGAACATAAATAACATTTTGAAATATGAAATAAAGGAGAATAAAATGTGTTTGAGGAGCCATTGAAACAAAGTAAATATTTTATTAAAAATTTTATTTATCTACAATTTACTTCCATTCAAGATGGTTACCAAATGATATTTGACAATATCTTTTTTATAGATGAATATAAATACTTATTAGCATAAGAAATATATGTTGAAAAAAGATGTAAATTAATGAATAATAATATCATCAAAATTATGCATTCCAAAGAATTATTATTAGATTTTTTGAATTTTTGTTTCTTATTTTTTTTGTTTTGACTTAACCATAGACATTCATTTAAATTACATAATGGAGAAATTTTGTGATGTTCTTCGATAGGACAGTCATCATAGGTCCACTCATAAATTTCAGTTCCACAATAGTAACATTTGCATACGTCACTATATGAAATATAATAAAAGCCTGCTCCTGCTAATACCTCAGGTTCCAATTTTCCATTCCAGTTTTTAAAAGTAGAAAGTCGATTTTCAAAGGTTTTATAAGTAACATCATCAATATCTTTATCAAAACTTTCCAAACACATCTTAAGAAGGATTAATAAGAAATGAAATATTGTCAAACATGTATTCTATAAGTAGGTATATTTTTCATTGAAAATGCATTAACTCATATAAAAGTATATTATTAATAAGTAATACAATGTAAATAGTATAGTAATACAATGTAAATAGTATAGTAATACAATGTAAATAGTATATAACCTAAAGTACATTATGTAAAAATATATTTTACTTATTTAACAAAATTATATGAGTCACTTCAAATAAGTTTTATGGTTTCAGTTTTTCGTTACTCGTTTTTATTTTGTGTTGTGTCTTGTGCATAGGTAAATAATTGTTTCTGTATGAATCTATGTGAACTATTTTGTGTAAAGTTTGATGTTTCACACCATTAAAGAGTTTTATGACAAATGTTAAAACTAAATAAAAAATATATTGTATTATTTAAAAAATATTGTAAAACTGAAATACATAAAAATATATTTGTTTCTGTATAAATCTACAACTAATATCTATAAATTATAACAAGTTTAAAACACTCATAAGTGGAATTATGAATTAAATTTAAATCATTCCAGAGTAGAATGCTATTTAATACATTATACTTTTAATAAGTACAACTTTTCATAATTGTGTAAAGTTTTATGGTAAATGTTAAAACTAAAATACATAAAAATATATTTGTTCCTGTATAAATCTATATATCTATAAAATATATTGTATTATTTAAAAAATATATCGAGGTTTGGATTATCTGCATTCCACTGGTAAAATGAAATATCATGATGACCCCAAGCAAGTGTTTTAAAATCATGTGGAATTTGATACCTTTTATTATCTTCAGAATTCAATGCAATTTTATGTATTAATTCGGTAAAAATTGTATGTAGTCTAGAACGAAAAACATACATGGAGCAAAAAATTTTAGAATTATTTTCTACTACATCTTTATAGTGAATAAAATCTAACTGATTTTTAATAGCATGTTTTTTTATACCTTTGGCTTTCTTTAATAAACCATTTTCGGTTTTTACACAGTATGCTTTCGCCCCCGTACCATAAAAAGATTCAATGGGTTCACCAGCATATTCATCCTTAAATTTACCAACAACTGATTGTGTTATTGGCATATTATGCATATTATTAGGTACATAATTGGAGGTATCAAATTTATGAATATTCTTTTGCATATCATGGTAAACATTATTTGTTGTAATTTCAAGAATAAAAGAATCAGTGTCTGTATACAGAAGAGAAACATTATCTTTATACAAAGGTTTTAAAAAATTGTAATAGAAGTCATACATAACCGTTTTTGAAATATCTAATATGGAAAAGCCAACATATATTGGTTTATTATAAGTAACTAGTATTTTTTGCATTTGGATGGCGACTAAGTTTTCTGAGAAAATTGTTAAGTCCTTGAAATATGGCTTTGCAATGAGATTTTCAGCCCCATCTTTCCTTTTATTTTTTTCCCATTCGGTAACAAGTCTTATATCAACTCTCCTGTCCACATTTTCCATTGTTTTTCCATAAATACTATTGTTTGCTAATTTAAAGGTGTGACGATCAAATTCATTTTTAGACTCATTACGTAACTTTGTGTTTAAATCTATAAATTTTTTCAACCAAGCAGATTGAGAAAATTGTAAAACTCTATGGATTTTAGTTAACTTAAGGCCATTTTGTAGACATTGTTTTAGTAATTGGTAATGAATTACATATTTTGATTTGTTATTTAAATTAGGTATTAATTTTGTAGATTTTGAATTAGGTGGTTTATAATTTTCTGGACAAAAAGGGAAATCGTTGTGGTAGTCATGAAGGTGTTCGGGATATTCTAAATCAACTTCTAGAACATAACCTTTGCTAGATGTATTAGAAATTGAAAAAATATCTAGATCTTTTATTTCTTTTTCTGACAACCATACAAAATCACCTGTTGGCAGATATTGGGACATTGCAAAACCATACAAGTTTGTTGCATCATAGTACATTATATACTTATTAGGTTTTGTTGAATCAAATTTTGATAGAAAAGGATTATTTGCTTCAGATTTCCGTGTTATGCATGAACTTACTCCACCACGAACGCTATTTTTAAAAAAATGTATCATATCTGGATCTATCAGTAATTCCAGTTCTATGCCTGTATAACGTAAACAAGATTCAAAACTTAACCCTGGAAAAGTATAGAAGTGTGCAGGGTCTAGTTTATAAGTAGACAAACATGTTTTTCGAAAATTTTCGAAAATATCAGCTAAAAGTAAAGTATCTGATAGCAAATATATATCTGAATAATGTCCTATACATTCACATTCAAATAATTTCCAAACTTTAAGAGCTCTTTCATATTCCTCGTCAGAAATATGTTCATCTGTTAAACTGTTAAAAAACTGATCTTTTTCAGGGAGAAATTTTTCCTCTAATTTTTCAAAACTATCGATGTAATTATAAGGAAACACACCTTTTTGACGAATAAGTTTAAAATGTTCCTCATCATTAAAAAATTTTCTTATTTCTATACATTGTTCATCTTTGAGGGTATCTGAAAGTTTAGATAAAGAAAATGATAAGAATTGAAATGAGTCGATAAATCTAAGTGATAGATTCTTTTTTTTTAAATTTCTTGTATGTTTATCAAAATAATTGTCTACATGAATATGTTTTTCAAAGGAAATATATTTTTCTTTATTTTGTGGAATTACTGATATTTGTTCTTTATTTGAACACATATTCTTTAAAAATAGGTGGCTGTCGTAATTACGTAAGTTGTGCATTATAACTGGAATAAAATTAGGAATTTTATAATTTATATTACACAAAGAATGAGCTGGTCCTCTATAGTTGCCTGTAATGTGACAATAATCGGCAACTTTATCCCCTAAAAGTGGTTTATCACAAATATGACATTTTGTGGCATTGTTATGTGTAGTTTGTTCTAATTCAGTTAGAGTATTCATTTTCTTAGGAGTCTTTAAAAATGTTTGATATAAATTTAACGCATCTTGTTCTAGAGAATTTATAAAAACTTTTTCACTATCCAAACCTCTATATTTTTCAAACTTAGAATATGTATCATCAAATGAACATTTGACATAATACGCAAAAGAGTATGGAATATGTTCAAAATTTTTTACAGTATATGAACTATTTGGATCTTCTACATTTTCATTATTATTTAATGGTTTTAAAATACATTCAAAGTCTGCATAAATCACAAAAGGAACTTCCATTTGTTTTTGATAATTTGTATATTTTAATATATTTTCATATGCCACATTTCCATATTTATCTTTAACTAGTTCTTTAGAAGGTAAATTAATTTTAACATGATCACAATCATAACTATTATGGTATTGTAATTTTTGTTCTGTATCAAAATATTGCAAACATCCTTCACATAAATATTTTCTACCATTGTGTTTGCTAAGTTGTTTAGAAATTAATTTAGAAAGATCGGAAATGTAGCAATAATGAAGATTTCCATCATCATCGTTTATCAATAATAAATTAACATGAATATTTTTTTTAGCATTTGTGAAATGTAGAGGACCAATTATTTCATATTCTTCATTTTTAGAAATTTTATTATAATATTTTTCTAAACCGTATACATTAATAGAAATATTGTTTTGATTTTCAAATTTTTTAATGTTTTTTAATGTTATTGGAAAATCAATACCTGCAGTGTTCAAAACCGTTGAATAATGAGGGTATGATGATGTAACAAAGTCAACACCTGTTGGAGGATGAAGAGCTGCAACTATGGACCATGCGAAGCAGTAGTCATCGTTATTTCTTATGTTAACTACAGCTTGACGTCGTACTATTTCAGGAGGTAGTTCAATAAATGATGATGCTCTCAAAGGATTGAATTTATTAATGTTAATTTCCAAATGAATAAAATTAAGTAAGATCCATCCTGAAACCAGAAATAAAAATTAATTACATATATATTTTAGATTAAAGTTAAACACTTACCCGAATCTTTTTCTGCAAACTCATCTGCCTTATTGTCAATAACTGTTACAAATTCTTCTATCAAATCCTTTGTTTCGGCACTATTGCAAATGACTTTAAATGGAGTGTTGAATGATTTTACATCATGATTATCAGTACTTGGATTATAATAATAGCCAAAAAGCTCCATATTAATTTTAAGGCATGTGTGTTTTCTTAATTGATCCTCAAATATACGAAGAATCTTTTTTTCCAATTTTATAAAGTAATTTTTAACATTTAAGATCATCTCCTCCATAGATAATCTATATGTTATTATTCGTTCTTTGAATGCAGATTTAATAATTTGTACTCCAGGTTGTTCAATTATTTTAGAATTATTTTTGTGTGTGTTTGATCGCAGATGACCAAACCATAAATTTTGTGATATTGACTCTTTGCATTCTTCACAATATTTCTCTATAAATACAATTATTTTGTTAATTTCAAAAGGTTATAACATAAAAAATCTTACTTTTTTCTTCAGGTGTAGACTTTGTCAACCATCTGTTTAGAAAGGAAGATTTGTTGCAGGCACTCTTTAAATGGCGAGATAGGTTGTCTTTACGAGTAAAGGTTTTTTTACAGGATGGGCAAATAAACATCTTTCAATTTAATTCTGTGAAAAGATTTAAGGTTTTATTAACTTAACTACTTAAATTAATCACTAACGTTATAAGATTATGTTATATATTTGAAAGGTTATGAATAAAATTTGGAAAAAAGAATGTATAAATATAATTTAATTAAAAAAATAAATGAAAAAATGTAAATATTTAATTAAATGAATCCACTAACGTATCAAAACATTGTTTTAAAAGTTCTAGTTCTTCAGCATTTCCTTTATCAATTTGAGTTTTTTTAAACTAGCAATAAATTAATTTTTTGATTCATTTAAAAAAATATTTACCTGTAAAAAAATATTTACCTGATTCTGCCGAAAATCGATCTTTTGTCATGTGATTCCCGATTTTCACAAAATCTCTCTGTAAAAGAAAATATTTATAAGACTAAAATTGTAAAACAGTGAGAAAAAGTCTTACCCTTTTTTCAGCAGACTTTCCAAGCCATCAGTTGAAAAACTTGACTAGTTACAAGCTACTCTCATATGATGTTTAAGACTAAAAGATTTAACACAAGATGTATAATTGAACATGTTGGTACTTTAGTTCTATAAAAAATTCTATGTTACAACTCATTATTATGTTAATTTGATGAACTTTAATTTTACTCTAGTTACTGTTGGTTGTGATTTTCTACTGTTCATGTATCCATGGTGAATTAAATTTAGACAGTCAGTTTTGTTAGTGTGTTTGTTGTCTGTTTTGCGGTTTATCTGTTTGTTTATTTTTATTGTTGGTTATAATTTACTATTTATGTGAATTAAATTATTTAGACAGACAGTTTCGTTAGTGTGTTTGTTGTTTGTTTTGCGGTTTATCTGTTTATTTATTTTTATTGTTGGTTGTATTTTTTTACTATATATGTGAATTAAATTTAGACAGACAGTTTTGTTAGTGTGTTTGTTGTCTGTTTTGCGGTTTACCTGTCTGTTAGTGTTGTTTGTTTGTTTTTATTGTTGGTTGTATTTTTTTACTATATGTATGAATTAAATTTAGACAATTAGTTTTGTTAGCGTCTTTGTTATCTGTTTGTTTGTTTGTTTTATTGTGGTTGAGTGTTTGTTGGTTATATTTTTTCTACTGTTTATGAATATTGAATTAAATTTAGACATGCTGTCTGTTTTGTAGTTTATCTGTTTATTAGTATAGTTTGTCTATTTTAATTTTACTGTGGTTAATGTTTAGTTGTGTTTACTATTATTTATTTGATTTGTCCATAGTGGGATTACTGACTGTTTTTTTATCTTTTTTGTTAATCTATTTATCTGAGTGTTTTTATATTATTTTTATTTTTTTATATTATTCTATTAATTATAATAGAATATATGTTATACTATTATATATTATATACTATTTTAATGTTTACTACGAGTTAAATTTGAAGAATGTTATTTTTATTTTAAATTAAATGTAAAATACAATTAAAACTGGACAAGTTTTTGAATAGAAGTCTTAATTTTATTAGATGAATATGTAAAACTATAACTTACCAAAACTATAGATATTAACTTTAACTAACACAAATAATGTTTATCAAAATACCCTTAATTTTATTGCAATGGGTGCGAAATTTACAACCAAACCATCTGACTGCCTTTGTCTTTTATAAGCAACTGGTCGACAGAGGCGAGGTCGATCTGAGATTATATCTGCAGGTATCTTGTTCTCGGTTCTCTCTGAGATCGTTGAACCTGTGATACTGGTTTTATTTTTTAAATTTTATATTTATATTAGAGATGAGCAATGTTTTGAAATATCAATCGGTTTAATCGGTTTTGTGTTAAATCAATAGAATTTTTACATGATGTGAAATAAAACTGCAAATATTTATAGTCACATTTATTTTAATCCCCTTTTTATACTCTGGACAAAGTAATATCTAATTATATCTTTTCGAAACTGCACTAAATATTTATAATGTAAACCACATAGTGGACACTTAGTTGTCATTTTTGAATCGTAACGTACATCATTCCATGTTAATATACAGTTTAAGCAAAAAAAGTGTGAACATGTATTTGGCACACATGTTTCGTAGCAATCAACCATGTCTTGACAAATAGCACAAAACAGTCGCTTAATTTCTTCTATATTTTCTTTTGTATATTGTTCGCAGGTTATAGTTTCTTCTTCTTCCCTAGGAGGAGATTGTAATATACTAAGTATAGATTGATGTTGAATAGTAAAACTGGTCTGTTGAGAGAGGGTTTGTAAATTATTTTCTTCGGCCATTCTGAACTAATACTTTTAGTGGCTTTTACTATATATGACTAGACATTGATATAGTGGGAGTAAAAATAAGTGGGGATAAGAATATCTCTGTTTCTTTATATCACCCTATCTTCCTCGTTGAAGAAAAAGTAGGAATGAATCGACATATTTTTTTAATATCGATTGATATCGATAGTTATTATCTAAATAGAAAGACTTTTTTAATATAACGAAATATCGAAAAGTAGAATATCGAAAAGTAGAATATCGATATTTCTGTACGTCCCTATAAGCGAACAGTTCAATGCCGGCTAGGACCGCTGTATCGGAGTAGGGGGAGGAGGAGGAGTTGAAAATAATTTTAAAATTGAAATCAGTATTTAAAATACATTGTTACTATAAATAGCATACTAATAAATCAAATTACAGGAATCTATATTTGAATTAACGGTTTTTCCCACCAAAAGTTGCAATGTTTCGCCACGTTGATAAGAGACGGTGCTACCGTCTACATCTTACCGCTATATGGAGACAGCGCCGAAAGACTATTGCGATATGATCCGGATGGTTTGGGCGGCTCGATGAAAGATCTCGCCGTGTAGCCTCACCAATCCCTTTGATTAATTAAAACTATTCGATGAAAAACAGTTTGATGGAAATCAGTATATTTTTGTATCAGCTTTCTAACTAGTTATTTTTTCTTATTGTATTGCATCACTCTTGATGAATTAGAGATTCGCTTTACCCTCTTCTAAAGACCCACCTTACTAGCCATATATACCTATGTCCAGCCCTAGCATGGCAACCATTTTGCTCGACCATCAGTGGAAATGTAGTAATATATAGGATGCATTATTTTATTTATTTTTGATATGTATTATGTTTTGTTTTATTATATTATATTTTTAAATTATATATTTTAATTTTTGTAATTAGTTATTAAGTTACTATTTTATAATTTTATTTGTATTGTTTAAATTATATATTTTAGTTTAGTAATTAGTTATTAAGTTACTATTTCTAAAATTTTATAATTTTATATATTAGTATAGTATTTAGTTAAACATTTGTAATAAGTATTTTTTATTTATTAATATGTGGTAATTATATTTTATTAATAATTTAAAATATTATGCTAGATATATAGATTATACTAGATATTATTCTTACTGATGTTGAAACTAGGTATATAAACGAAAATCTTAAGAATAAATATCAAAATATACTGGAAATAAAAAGGGTAGAATTAGTGGTGGGAGGAGGAGGAGGAGGAGGAGGAGGAGGAGTATTTTGAGGAGGAGGATCTCTCATATATTATCTACTCATATAGTTTTGATTGTTGAGATATTAATGGATTTATAGTTTTGGTAAGATTTTCTTTGACATTCCATTCGGTAGAAAAAACCTTCACATGCCTTTCTTTTAGATTCCAGTTTTTTTTATGAGAAGTGTCCAGCCCTTATTTGAGAAGAAATGTTAAATTACTGATTGTGTGCCTTCACAATGAGGTAAATTAATACCTTCGTAAATTTTTCGAGTTTTTTAAAATGTAAGGTTAATACCGTGCATTTCTTTTTAGGTTTTTCTACAGATTTTTCTCAGCATTTTTCTCAACGTTTTTCTTCGGATTTTTCTTCAAGTATTTCTAGACATTTTCCTAGACGTTGTTCTGCAAGTTGTTCTGCATATTTTTCTAGAAGTTTGTGCCAAGTTTTTCCACAAGTTTTTCTTCGAGTTTTTCAATCACCGAGTTGATCAGTAGCAGCCTGTTCGGTTAGATTTCAGCCCTACATCCCTCTGAGGAAAAGTTGGATGCTGTGTAATTTGGTATACAAGGCCAGTATATTTTTTATAGTAAACTAAAATTTTATTAATTTGATTTTAAATAATCATTAGCGTGTTAAGAAATTAACAATACTTAACATATTACTTTTAACTGGTTAAGTACTTGCTTTCAGCATTACTCTAACCCTTAATTTATAAAATTTAACATTCTGTTACATTTTATATATTTTTTTAACACTTAAGTATTTGCCTTCAGCATTGCTTAAATTTTACTTATATTTGTTTATTAAAATAACCATGTTATATTGATTGATTATTCGGATTTAACGTCTATTTATGTTAACCTTTTATATCTTTACGATCTTTGACCTGTAAGGGCAATCTTGGGTACAGATTTTAATCTTTTTCCCCTTAACTACTAGAATAGTACTGAATAATTTCTAACAAGAAATAAATCTTAATTTTTGGGTATTTTGTGACGACTTTTTCTGTCATCACTCAAACAGAAAGAAAAAGGTATCCGTTGCTCAGGGTTAGAGGAGAGCTGGGTTCGTAGGTAAGGCTTGTGACCTGTGGTGACTTAATAATGTTGTTAAATAATAAAATAAAAGTAATAATGTATAGGCTGCAAAGATTCTAAAATTGATGTTAAGTATTCAAATAGTAATGGTCAAAGACAGTAAAAAGGGCGCCACTTACTTTGGGTATGAAAAGGTAAAAGTAAGAAACCAGTAAGAAAATTTGATCATGAAATAGCTAAAATAAAATAATCAACAGCAATAAGGGCCTATTATGTTCATCAAGAATAAAAGTCAGATATAACTATCCTACGTTGAACATTTATTTTAAAACGAACACAATTATCAATCAGTTTTAAACCCAGTTTCAATTATCCCAATGAAATCGTTAGTTACTTTAAGTAAACTCAAATTTAGTTAGAGTTCTCTCCAGTATACTATACTACGTAATATATAAACAGGTGAAATTTATGTAAGTACCAATACGATGATGTTTCGAAACAAGTCGTGTACAATAACCTTCAAAAATGAATCCGTGTTAGCGATTCTCACATAAAAGATCATACTGAAGTAAAACGTACCGTTAAGAACAAAGCATGACTTATAATGTTAACTAAAAGGTAAATTTTGACTATAATATATGGAATAAATGACAACAATTTACAGAGATATTCAAAATATTGTCTCAAAGTAAAAAAAAAATTTAGGGAATACCTTGTGTGTTGAACTTAGAACTTATCTGTATTTTTTTTTTTAATTTTGTGACGTAGTGAACCAGTAGGCAGGCAGTCTCCAGTCTAACGGAAGTGGATGTAGACTCTTCGATAGTAGCAGGAGTCTTTGATATCAGTAGAATAAATGTAGAGTCATAAATACTGTCTCAAAGTGGTTACTCATATGCCAATTACTTATACGTCAATTTCTTATACGCCAGTTACTCTATAAAAAAAACTCTCAGAACAGTCACCGAATACCAAAAAATAACTTTACGGTCTGAAAATCAGCTGTACACCTTCCAAAATATAGCCAAACTATATGCTGATCCAAACCAGTAATGCACAATCAAACATTATCAAAATAAATAAAAAACGGGAATAACTGAAATAAAATTTAGTTAGACATGGCGATACAAAATGGTAGATACACTTACTGTGATCTTATTCCAGGAAAAGGCCAAAAACATGAACTAGGCTCTGAACAGTATATTCTACAGGATTTCAAATCTCCACCTTTGGATACCCGTGCCTTTACTGTTAGGAAAAGTGTTTCAGAAAGCCCTTTTTCTCTGAGATTCGTCGGACGCTGAACCACGCGTCTTTTCTGATCTCAATCTCGGAAAAGCCTCCTTTTCGCAAAACGGAAGTCTTCGAATTGACAGGTCATATGACCAAAGGCAATTAAGTGAACTCTATCGTCTATACTGAATGAAATTTGTTTTTATGGAAAGGAACCGCTACCTGTACTGAATGAAGTTTAACATCTAGCGAATAGATGGCGCCAGCAATATTAAAATTTGGAATTTTATAAAAAGAAAAATAAAACGCTACACTGCCCCCCTCCAAAAAAAAGAAAGGCCCTCAAAGAGGACTTTCGCCCAAACACCACATAGGAAAACTAAACTAAGTTTGTACAGGGTTTTGGATTTTTCAAATGAAAATTTGGTGGATGATAACTTCGTGTATCACACGTCCATAAAGGAGTCACTATTGGTAAGTCGCAATCGGTATGTCAAATCAGTGAGATTACACAATCGGGAAAGTCAAATCACCATATAATCCAAATAAAAACATTCATATAAACTATATATGAAAACTAAAACTAAATCTAAACCTAAAAGTATGGGATAGGAAAAGAAAGAAAGAAAGAATCCCATGGAAGCGCAGATGTTCCTGAAGAAATCCTCAAGCTGATTGTCCGTACTCAACCCACCTAGTGTGAGGCAACGAAAGATTCACAAATCGCGTGTAATCAGTCATGCGACCCCTCACACCCAAGGAAGCGGAGAACAAAACAAACAACAAAAGAACCTCAACAAAAGCCATGCTACGGATCACTATAAGAGGTAAGTTTGGCGTGACCAAAACAAACTACCTTCGCCACAACCTGTGTGCTCACCGGTTAACCATTCAAGGTAACTCACCTGTATGAGAAAAAGAAAGGAAAATAACAATAGAAATCACAATAGATAAACATATAAAGGAAGAGAGAAAAGATTGTCACGAATGACCCAAAATATCCGTAACATAGGATTCCAGCCTATGAAACGCTATTGCAAATATGGAAAGAAAATCACAATCATACCCAATACACAGTAAACTTACGAAGTTATGAGGTCAGCTATGTCTCACCATTAGGTTGCAATCAGAATCATAACAACTTTTCGTTTTGTCACGAAGTCGTGTTCTCAAAATACAAGAATTGCTTAAATTTCAGATTCTTGTGAACTGAATGTCATAGAATGGAGCAAATGGCACAAAACCATATGAGTGATTAACAGAATTACCATCCCACAAAATATTTACTCAAAATTAGGTAATCTGTAGAATACTCGGAAAAAGAAAAATACTGCTATATGCTCGCATTTCTAAATAGAAATACTATATTATACTGAAAATATACGCAAAAAAACTAAATAACACAATAGTTATGCTGATTCGCGACAAATCCGTAAAAACGATAAGCGAATTGTTGTATAACTTTTTAATATAAACTAAAAAAACTAAAATATAATCTATGTATCCTTTAGACTAAACCCTAAAAAGGAATCGGACATAATAGATTATTTAAATTACTGTGACGTAGTAGAGACATTTCCTGTATCATCGTCGTCAATCATGTGACCTTGGTATGGTTTAAGATCTTTTATATGCCAGCGGCCTGCGTTATTACCATCCTCGTCTACTAAAACATAAACTAAATTCGAAATTTTCTTTCGTACTGAAGATAAAACAAAACGAGGGGCTAACTTGGCTGAAAAGTTAACACCAGCATTTGATAAGACCTTATTACGTCTCCAAACCAAATCACCAACCTGAAAAGATAGATCACGTCTACGCAAATTATAAGACTTTGAGTTTCTTTCGTAAGCAGCATGAAGTTTCTTACGGACTTCGCTAAAGACACTATAAAGATTTTTGAGTTCTGAAGCGTAAGAGTTGCGATCGCCAGGCATAATTTCAAAATCTTCAGAGAACTTAACTTGACCATAATAATTACCAGAGATGGGAATATGCCTACCGAAAACTAAAAACGAAGGAGAAAAACCTGTGACCTCATGTTTAGAAGTGTTTAAAGCAAACTGAATATTAGAGAGTTGAACATCCCAATCTGTATGTTGTTTAACATAAGTTCTAATAGCTGTTCCTATTGTTTTATTCATTCGCTCAACAAAGTTACATTGAGGAGAATACACAGCATTATACCAGATCTTCTGAACTTGATATTTCTTTGCTAAATCTCTGAACTCTTTAGCAACAAACTGAGGACCATTATCACAAATTATATATTGAGGTACTCCATAAGTAGGAAAACTTCACTCTCAAGA